GCTCCGCTATAAGATTCAAGACTGTTATTTGATACACAGGATCACATTAGAGAGGGGCATCTGCAGTTAAATTTTTTTTTAGGTGGGCGCGGTCCCGCCTCTAATAGGTTTAATGTGCATATCTCCTAAGCCGCTAATGCTATAATAACAAAATTCACTAGAAGCAAATGTTTTTAGCACTTCTATTGACGGTGTGAAATCGGGTGGCAACTCCGCCCACTCCCCATATAACGGTACTGTTAAAAACTACTAAAAGCGCGATAAATCAAGCACTAAACACGCCAGAGACATTAAATTTTATCTCTGGGATGGTATGAGATGACTTTATAGGAACCGCGTTCAAAATTATCCATTGGGCGTGGCACAGCCCACTTTTAGGTGAAAACCCATATCTTGAGATCTGCTTAACCGATTTCAACCAAATTCGGTGCATAACGTTCTTTTCATGTTTTTATATTATAGTGCGTCTACGTCTACTTCCCATATAACACCATTTTAAATTCCATCTGATTCTTTCACTTTCCACTATGCAAATCAGGCAACAATGACTGTATCGGGATAAAACTTTGCGTGAATAATGCGATTAAAGTATGCCACCTTGTGGCCAAAAATTGTCTAAATCGAACCAAAACTGTTCAAGCCCCTAAGTACTAAATATGTGGACCCCAGTGCCTATAGTTGACCTTCTACCGAAAATATCAGCCAATCCACAAAGAAATCTCAAACGAGTATACTATTTGACTTTGCGAGAGTATAAAATGTTCGGTTACATCCGAACTTAGCCCTTCCTTACTTGTTTAAATTAATTTTTTAACAATTTGTTTTTCTTCTTCTATGTGTACATGTATGTATGTCAGTTCACTGCAGAGCACTTTTTAGTCAATTTTTTAATTTTTTTGGGTTTTGGTTCGTTTGCATGTATATATTAACGTTTAGCCACTTCACTGTTATTTTTCTTCTTTCGTTTTTATAGGTTTTTTTTTTGTTACTCCATAGTGCCGCTCACTATGGCTCGAAGGACCTTGATTAATTGGGTGCCCTTTTTAACGGAAAGCACACAGCACATATATAAGTTTTTGTGAATCACTTACATACACGGTTAATGTTACAAGTGAAAATGCATAATATTTATAATAAATATAAAATATGCGAAAATTTATTTTTTACACAAGTTTATTTTACACGTAATCTATTGATGTATTAAATAGTAAAATGAATCGTTTCACGCAAAAGAGTGCGGAACGGTATCGAAGTGGATGGTCGAAATAAATCCGGAGCAATGTCGATCGATGTGGTAAACCAATGGTTTGACGCATGTTTGTAGCGAGCTTGATTGTATATTACGCAGTGTCGAATTGAAAGTTGAGTTGCGCGCAGGATCGCAATTACTTCGAATGTGGTGAATTGAAGATCCAATCCCTCTTTTATTGTTGATTGTGTGGGGTGTCATCGTGTGTGGTGGTAACTTCTGTGGTGACATCGTGTACACTGTGGTCGGGTATGTTGTGAGTGCGAGTTGTGTTCCTAGGTGTGGTGTGTTGTATTAGGATGTGTCATTATTTAACCTCGATGAAGCGGTGTAGTTGGAGGGGGAGTTTATAGTCATTTAAACAAACGAGAAAGCGATAAGCACATAACCAATGCAACTTCATTATTTGAATGGGGTAAGAATGCATTTAAAAAAATTACGTTGGTTTTTGCTCTCAGGAAGATCATGACTCTCATGAGAAGAAGTTTAAATTACGTTATGACCGATGTGTAACCATAAAAAATACACGCCAATATCATCATTACAGAGCTCTTAATATATGTATAATAGAGTGATAGACAGATAGAGTAATATAGAGTGATGTAACTCTAATGCAAAGTTTTCGCCAAAGACATTAAAATTGTTACCAATAAAGTTAAAAAAAAGAAATAAAGCCATACGTATAAGTTATAAGAATTAATTTAACAATTATTTAACTTCTTTGTTTTTTTATTTATGAAAAAATATTTAATTTATTATCTTTCATTTGTTGAAATAAAATTAACCATAAAATAACGATATTTTTAATTAAAACATAAAGTATTATTCCTTATTTATAATTACTAAGTAACTCTAAAGATAAGTCAATGACTAAGATAGTCAAAAATATTCAATTTAAAGAAATTATGAATTTTTAATACTTAAAGAATAGGAAATTCCAGTTAAAAATGTGGCCTTGAAATATTAATAGCGGGTATTCAATACATTCTGGTAGATTAGGGAATTCTCGTCTTAAGTATTTCTTTGAAACTATTAAGCGGGTAGGTATTATGCATATTGTTCTACCACATTCATGCTAATTCACTGCAAGCAAAATGTGAGATCATCATCCCAACATACAAATGCAATATGCAACACACTTTAAGTGTGGCGTTGCCGAACTGCACAAACATAAACCGCTATACCGGATGCGCTGACCGCCTTTAATCTGATCGCGATCAGTCAAATATTTTTGCGGATTTCATTACTTTAATATTTATTGCAAAATACTAAAAATAAATTTTTAAATTTTTTAAGGGAGAAGTCATTAAAATTTTAATTTCTTAACTTAAAATTTAATTAACAATTTGAAAAAAAATGTGGAAAACGGTTGGCCTCAGGGGCCATCCCTGCAACTTCCCGCTAATTTCATACGTTAAAGTTCAAATTTCAATGAAACCCTTTGGAATGCCGTTTAGTTTATTCAAATCGGTTGAGCCGTTTAAAAGTTATACCTAAGAGGTTTACATACATCCACACACATACAGACATACGGACATCATCGTAGAAATGTTCGGGAAAGCTTCCTCGACCCTCAGAACGTCGAGATCTGTTGAGAACTCGATTTTTGCAAAATAGGGTGAAACCAGTAACTTCCCGATTTTTAGAAAATTTTCAATTTTCTTACCGGGAAGTTGAAAATTATTTAAATTCATACATATTTTCTCAAAGTACAAGTTTTGAACTATAATTCCTGAAAATTTCATTAAAAAATCACCAATAGTTTTCTAATTATTAATTATACCCTGAATAGGGTATATTAATTTTTCCACGAAGTTTGTAACACCCAGAAGGAAACGTCGGAGACCATATAAAGTATATATATAAATGATCACCGTGACGAGCTGAGTTGATTTAGCCATGTCCGTCTGTCTGTCCGTCCGTCCGTCTGTCCGTCTGTATATACGCGAACTAGTCCCTCAGTTTTTGAGATATCGATCTGAAATTTTGAACACTTCTTTTTCTCCCCAAGAAGCTGCTCATTTGTCGGAACACTATAGCATATAGCTGCCATACAAACTGAACAATCGGAATCAAGTGTTTGTATGGGAAACTCATTTGACGAGGTATCTTCACGAAATTTGGCATGTATTATTATTTAAAGCATTAATCTAATCTCCGAAGAAATTGTATGGATCGGATGACTATAGCATATAGCTGCCATATTAACTGAACGATCGGAGTAAAGTGCTTGCATGGAACATTTTTTTATTTGACGAGGTATCTTCACGAAATTAGGCACGAGTTATTGCTTAAGGCAACAAATTATTCTCCACAGAAATTGGTCAGATCAGATCACAATATCATATAGCTGCCATACAAATGGAACGTTCGGAATCAAGTTCTTGTAAGGGGCCTTTGTTTTTGTGAAGGGTATTATAGCTTCGGCGCAACCGAAGTTAACGTTTTTTCTTGTTTTTTTAACTAAAAGTAGTAAAAATTTGCAATTAAAAAAAAATTGTTCTTAAAATTAAAATTTAAAAAAACTGAGCGGGTGAGCTTACTTGTTCATGATGACTACTTTATGAAAAAATACTCACATTCAAATTCGATGATCAAGTGGAAAATGGAGGGTCAACTTGACGTGTTTTTGCTCAATATTCTCGTATAAGGCTTATTTTGTTCTCGATTTTGTATTACTGAAGAGTTTGAACCCACCATCTTGCCCCAATTTCAAGAAATTTTACTGTAACGAAACTGTAATATAACACCAACTGATGTAACAGAAATTGTATAGGGAATTTCGCTTACAATGGGTTATCATAGACTTCCTGAGATTTTTCATTAGTGGTCGCAAAATTAATCTATGGAAAGCGAGTTTGTAAATAGGGCTATTGCACAAAATCGCTTTGAAAATTTATTGTCAAAACTTTATTTAAATTCTCCTGAGCAACCTGCTACAAAAATAAACTATAATACCTTTTTTTTTTATCAATTTCATCATTAATCATTTTTTTTTATTGTATATCCAATTTTGTTTTATTTTATATAATTAATCATTTTTAAAAGTTATAGACCGTAAATATGGACCGTTCAGCCACGCGTATACGACATCTAATTAGAAAATTATTCATTGCGGCCTGAAGGGTAGAAGTCGGGATTGCTTCAATTACCGATTAAATGAACTGCTTCAATTCAGTCAGATTTCTGGGTTTTGTTTTGTACACATCTTGCTTGATATAACCTCATATAAAAAAGTCTGGTGCAGTCAGGTCAGGTGACTTTGGGGTCAGCGGAAAGTGGAGTTTCTTGATACTAATTTGTTTTCAAAGTTTCGTTGAATATTTGTTCACATTTAACACAATGAAAATAACTCAGTGGGACATATTATCCCAGGACATATCCTCCTTTTCAAGGACGCTAGATTAAAAAAATTTTTTTTTTGTGTTACTATACATAAGGTGGTCCACAAAAAAATTATGAGTTTTTCTAAACCCCTGCTTATATTACGATAGTGAAAGGGTTAAGGGATATAATTATTTATCTAATAATATGTGCAATTTCCAAGTGATTTGCCGTGTTTAACATTGATGTTACATACTCGTATAATTTTGTAAGTATTTATGTACATTTATACTTCAGGATGTATGTATATTTGAAGAAAAAAAGTATTTTGCGATACGCGTTAACAAATACTGGATTAATTTCTATTTGAATTTGATTGTAAACATTTTTTGTTGAATTTATGTTTTAATTGTCACTTTATTTTCGACATACCGATAGTGTCAATAAAATTTTCTACATTTTTTTTATTATACTCCATGATAATCGTCTTCACCGCTAACTAAAAAATATCAAATTTATAGTTTAAATGAACTCTTATAATAAATGATAATCAACGCTAGTGCTTCAATACCGAATCTTTACCAAAGTATAATAAAACACTATTTTCACTTATAAATGAATTATAAAAGTATGAATATTCTCTATAAAAATATAATACAAATAATTACAGAGTCCCGTCAATATGTAGGTCTTCAGAATGAGTGATCTGAAGTAATATAAATTTCAAGTTCGTAATAGAAACAGTAAAGCATGCGAACACAAAAACTCCAAATTTAACCTACACCTGTGGATTAAGGACCGAAATGTGTAATTCCAAGCGCTGAGGTCAAATTATAAGTAAGTAGAAAAAAGTTTATGCGCAGTTTAATATTACGCCAGATAAGCATGGTGAAGAACTTACTTAGTCAGAACTAAATATTGTAAGTGAAAAAGTGAAAAGAAGCGGAAGAGCACTGACAAGAAATTGAAATTCATTCTTCTTTTCTTTTCTACACTTTATTTTGTTCTTCTTTTCTTTTCTATACTTTATTTTAATAAAGTTTTTTGTTCTTTTCAAGTATGCAGCTTTAGCTTAAGCACCTGTTACTATTTCTTATTGCTTTTCCGTTGATTTCATTTTGTAGTTTTTCATACCGCATGAGCGCTGAAGAAATGAAAGAAGGAAGAGACACTGTTTAAATAATATGAAATATCTGAAAAATTAAAACGATGAAAAAGGGACTGTATATATGTTTGACAAAATGTGCAAATTTTGCTTTTAATACGACTTTTGCTGAAGTTTTGTTTTGATATGGGATCTTAAAAATTTCCTCTAGTTTTCATAAGTATAATTTCATTAATTATTTGAATCAATAAATCAAAATGTAGTGACCAAAGTTCTTGTTTTGATATTGAAGTTTTGCTACAAGTTGTATAGGAACTTAGCAAGATAAAATTATAAGGTTGAAGTTATTAGAACGGAGACAGTAAACGCTGGTTATTTTAAAAAATAACTAAATGTGACAATTTTTAATATAAAATCATTGAATACATTATATTAATATTAATTCTTTTCCGTGGCTTAGCATCCATTTCCTATTACTATATTTTAAAACTGTAAAAAATTAGCTAGGTATATGGTCATGTTAGTCCTTGAAGACTAACAACTTGCCACTTTATTTCAATTAAAACGATTATGTCTTCATCCTTTTGAGTCACTTACCATATAAAATGACTAACAAATTTCTTACTCCACTGTTAACAGCTTTTAATGAGGTAAAATGCTCAGCTCTTCTTCATGAAGGAGTATTAAAATTGAGTTTGATAGCGATGAATACTTTTATTTAACCCTAGAACCTTACTAGGGGTGCTGGACAAAAAGTTTTCTTAAAATATTTCGTTACAGTACATACATTCCTCTTCTGTCATAAATAAAAGTATTGTGGGTTAAACTATGCATTATTGAGGTTTTGTTGTAACATAAAAAACATCATATAAATTATTTATTTATTTATTATTATTATAAAATATTACTTTATAGTATTGAGAAACAGCACAAATTTCAATATTTAGTAGTTTAAAAATTGAGGAAATAGATGATATAATACATCAAGAATCGAGTGATGAGGAAGACCTGGTTAATCCTGGAATTGAAGAATTCGATGATGAACCTAACCTTATAAGTCATAAGTGTGCTGACGGGAAAGAAAATATTGATAAGAGATGCCTTTAGTAGAGATGATGACATGATCTTGCTTGAGATATCTCGGAATTTAAGAAAACAAGGGATGCTAAAATACTCTGTTAAAAAAAAAAATAAAACATTAGCCAATGTGCCTGTTCTATGGGCTATTAAATGGAGCTAGCATTAATTCCTGCGTGCTCTACAAATGTTCAAAAGCAAATAATAAGCCTCATATATAGCATTTGGAAGAACACTTTCAAATGACCACTTTGAGAAAGAATATCAAAGAAAGTAATATCTGCGATTCTCAATAAACATATGCTTCTCAATCCTCCTGCTCATGAGCGTTACTCACAGATACGTTGTGATCGAAAGAGCAAGACTAGGTGCAACATGTGTAAAATTCCGATTTACTTGGAACACCAAATAAATTAAAGGGCTGATTTTTGATCTCAATTTGTCATAATTTTATAAATAAAACATGTTTTCTTATGGGGTGCCATGAAACCCCTTTGTAGGAAAATTGCATACGCCAGTTAGTGAAGGGTTCAAGGGTTGAGATATAACTGCTCCTTGTCTCACTTTCAAAAATTGTGGGACTATGTTGAGCAGCGAGGACGTCGTCACTGCTAGGCTGGAGGACAGTGCTAGAGAACTATGGCTTATCTCAGCCTATATGCGGCACGACGACGAAGTGGATCTGGAGATAGTACTTTTGCACAAGGAATTTGCTGTCAACATCGAGGGGGCCTTAAATAACGTGCGGCCAGAGGCAGTGGTTAAAGCCCTCGAAAAGTTTGAGGTGGGATCATGAGGTTTGATCCTCACCTCATTTTTTATCTTCTTTGAGACAGAAATGTCATAGTAGAGTGGGGTAGCACCAAGTCAACCAGAAAGGTTAATAGGAGAACTCCGCAGAGGTGTACTCTCCCCGCTGCTCTGGATCTTGGTGGTAAACGACCCACTTATAGAACTCGAGAAGCAAGGCTGTCGGGTGACAGCCTTTGGTGATGATGTGGTTGTTATGGTTAAAGAAAAATTCTTAAATACCGTCTATGAGCTCACCGAAGGTACCTAAACGTGGTATCCAACGAATAGAAGCGGCCTAGCCGTCGACCCAAGTAAAATCTAAATGGCTTTATTTAATAAGATATATAAGATCCCAAATGTGCTTCTCCCCTCTTTCGGGGGTTCACGTCTTCAACCTGTTGATAAAGTGAAAAACCTAGAGCTTATTCTCGATAGAAAATTTTCCTGGAGGCCAAACATTGAGGAGAGAGTTAAGAAGGCATCGCTTGCCTTATATTGCTGCAGAGGAGTTATAAGGAAATGACGGGGACTCTCACCAAAGTTGGTGTTCTGGCTCTACGAAACCATAGTCAAACCAATATTGTCCTAAGATGTGTTCGTAGGGTGGAGGGCGCTCGAAAGGACCCCTCTGGCTAAAAACCTTGAGCGGGCCCAAAGAGCGGTGCTCATCGGAATCTCCGGTGCACCACACCAACGCAGCTCTTAATGCTATTTTAAACGAAGCATCTGTGAACATTGCCGGCAGGTGCATTGCTGAGAAATGTGCTATAAGGCTCAGAGAAGCTGGGCTTATGAAGAGGTCCGAACAAGGACACGCCGCAATTCTCTCCTCCTGCAGATGCATTCCTGAAAATTTGAATCACTGCGCCCCTGCCGCCACTCGAGGTGGCTTTTTCTCTGCTCATATCCCGACGAAAGAGATGTGGGTAAGAAGAAGCTGCTGAAGAAGATGCGCGGTGAGCTTTTTTACGGATGGGTCGAAGTTAGAAGGGAATGTTGGAGGGGATTTTCTGTAAAGAGCTCTCCGTCAATCTTAGGTTCAGGCTACCGGACCACTGTAGCGTTTTTCAGGCAGAAGTGGCTGCGATCAAGGTGACGGTAGAAGTACTGCTACAGCCTCGTTTAGAGAGGTGAGCATTCACTCCGACAGCAGAGCGGCAATACTAGCCCTGAGTGCGCAAACCGTGTGATCATAGCATGTCAAGGAGTGTCTGTCCTCATTAGAATTAGCATCAGGCTACCTCCAGACATCAGAATCGGTGGCAACTGTAAAGCCGATGAGCTAGCCAGGGGGAGCATCCTTGCTCCGTGTGTGTGGTTCGATCATTGTGATTGAAATGGTGTGTTGGAATTCATACACATTTAACCAGCATTAAATATCTAAATAAAATAGAATATTCATGTAATATTTATATGGAAAATCGAAAATTCCAATACGCCACCTGGTAATGATAATATTAATGGCTCAAACTATACAAGAATTTGTTTCGTCATTTCGGATATTTTTGTGGTATCTAAGGAAAATAAATAAAAGTTTTCATTTGGCACAGCCAAATGTATATTTTTTCATAGATTTGTAAATCACTCAACAAGTCAACACACATCACATAAAAAGCTAAGCAGCGAGAATAATGAAATAACAGACAACCAGCCAAGTAACAGATTCAAAAGAAAAGAAAATCGAAATCAAAATGTCACCCGTCTGCATGTACTCGTAAGAAATTAGTTTGTGTGCGCTAAGTAACAATTCTGCGAAGTGATGGCGATACTCAAGTGGACAAAGTAGACGGCTAGACAAGTCTTAAATGGTCTATAAAAACCTCACTTCAATACATAGTATAAAACAAAGTCGATTTCTCTGTCCCTATATCCCTTTGTATGTTTAAATCTTTAAAACTACGCAACGGATTTTGATGCGGTTTTTTTTAATGGATAGAGTGATTGAAGTGGAAGGTTTATACTTGCATGTATAACAACATCCATTGAATAGTGTAGAAATACTATTTTTTCTTGAGGTTTCTAATGTAATGTCGTAAAAAATAACATTTTTTCCGCTTACATTGCAAAGGCAGGCTGAACCCTACGAAATTTATCAAATTAATGTACTAAGTATTGTTCCCATTGAAAAGGTCTACAGAAAACTCCGCAATGGTATATGTCTATCTCTTATGGATATCCCATTACGACAAATAATGGTTAATTTTCGAAGCAATTTTAATCAATACAGCAGTAATCCTTATCCAACTAAATACCTTAAATACATTGTTAATTTAATATATAATAGATCTATGTTCCCCATTAAAGCATATGATTTAAATGAATATTTTCGAAGATATTACAGATTTAAAAATTGCTTTCTAGGTACTGCAGTTGATGGTTTCCCTGGAGTAAAAAAACTCTTGGAGCCCCATAGCTTTGTAGGCTGCTTGATCACTGGGAAAACACATTATCAGAAGCTGCTGTTTGTAGTTCAGCTAAATCATTAAGATATTTATTTGCCGTCATAGTAGCGTTTTGTCAAGTAACTGATTTTGTTAATCTATGGAATAAATTTCAAGAAAATATTGCCAGTAATATTCTGATTCGGCGAGGGCGAGAGTTAAACTCATATGATGTACAATATGATCAAAACATGTTTGACGAAGCATTATTTGAATTGAACAAAGTAGTGAAATTACTTTCTGGTAAATCGATCAAGATTTTGGGCTGCCGATGCCAGCTGTTACTACTAACTCAGATTTAACTAACAGCGCCGAATACACAAGAGAAACATCAAACAATAGCTTTCAAAATATAGGTCAAGATGAGCCACGATTAAACATCGATCAGAAAAAAGTAAAAAGCTTTTAAAAAAAGTGAGATCTACCGGAAAAATTCCATAAATCATCCGGCATTGCCGCTACGCTTTTCGACGGAGGCCGAACCGCACACTCTACATTCAAGCTCCCGCAATCGCAACCAATGATAATAACAGCTTCTGTAGTGTTTCTAAACAGAGCAATACAGGAAAATTGATGCGTGACTGCTCATTATAAGTCTGGGACGAAGCTATCATGTCAAACAAGACGTCTGTGGAAGCGCTGGAAAAAATTCACCTACGGGTGGATGTACAATTCTGTTCTCAGGAGATTTCCGTCAAATGCTACCAGTTGTGACTCGAGGAAGACGTGCTGAAAATAAATGCTTCCCTAAAAAGATCCAACCTTTGGCCACATGTCAATAAATTAGAGCTTAAAACTATGATGAGGGTTTCGTCATCTTCACGTGAGAACAGGCTATTTCCAGAGATGCTGCTAAAAGCTGGCAATACTCTCCATTGCAACACAAAGTGAGAGAAGGATTAACCAAAACTTTGCAATGGCACGCGTTTGCTGGTAAAATCACTGAAAACTTTCATAATAG